AACTGCAGCAAATGCAGTTGCTAAGCAATTTCGTGTAAATGAAGCAGAAATAATGGTCGATTGCAAATACTAATGTCAATATGACGTATTTGCTCAATTAGCAATAAACATTTCGCTTAACGAACAAAATTAATTGTAAGAAAAATGACTCGATTAACGAGTGACGATGAAAAGAGAAGTCACGGATTGCGCGCATTCTACATCATTTTTAATACTTGTGTACACATTTTTGAATATGTTTCACTATACGAGTAAAAATCCGGAAATTTTGGAACGGATTAAACTCGTTAAGCGAGATTTCCCTGTATATTCTTTATATATACTTTTTTTGTTACTTAATAATACTAAATGTTTTTGTAATATTAATTAGTAAAAAGTTTGTTTTAAATATTTTAATTGGATGTGTTCTCACTTTTGTTTATCTTGTCACTTTTAAGTAAAACAAGCGATATATTAAAAGTAATAATATAGTATGGATAATTAAAAAGTAAGTACCGAATGAAAGTGCGCAGGAAAGAGAAATTTCCGCGAGTCGCGTTAGGTAAATGCGGAAGAAACGAAGAACGAAGACACGGGGGAAAAAAGGTGGATAAAAAAGATGTGTATGTAGAGAGACTTCCCGCGTCCGTTATTAATATGTGATCAACTTTTGTGCAGGGATTCTCCGGTGGAAACTTTCGCATCGGGAGAAAGCCTTTCACACTTACCACGAACTCCTCCTCGACATCATCCGTACAGCAAGTCTCGTTCTGCTTCTCACTCCTGCACTCGCTCTTCGGTATTTCGTGATGCAAACACACCGTCATCTCAATGCACTAAAGTAAATCCACTCTCTGCAATAATAATTAAAAAAATAAATACACGAATTAAAACTTCTTTGATATTTGTGTAAACTAATAAAGCACGTGTACGTTCACGACTGTTATTCAATGATAGGATTAATTCAATCAACACATCTTGCGTTACTGATTTTGTTTCAATTTTGTACTTGGATGATGGAAAGTCTTGTATTTATGGTACAGCAAAGAACTTTCTCGCTTCTGTAGAATGCGCTTTAACCATATATCTCACGATTATCAATATTTTTTTTTAATTGCAAACGCTTATGTTATCATGTAAGTTATTTGGCCTTCAAGAAATGTTGTTTTTTTTTTCAAATACGTACAGTCATAAACAATTATTGGTGATTAGGGTTTAACATCCACGACACTCACCAAAACCTGTCACTTGATCACTAAATCGCTTTGTTTGTTTCTGTTTCGTTAGTTTTGTTTCACTTTGTTTCTTGTTTGCGGATGCGCGACTTAGTTTCGCGACGGTCGGGACAAGACTAAGTCGATTCGTCGCACTTCACTTTCGAACTTGCCTCCGCGCAATTAGCATACACGCACTTACAATGAATCTTACGAAAACGACGATCAAAATAGACTTTGTCCATTGGTAATAGATGTGATCATTTTTTTTTTGCGCTATTGTATTTCGATTGCGATTTAGGTCGACGGACTTAAACCACCATAAGAAATTCATGAACATTAAGGGGAAGCAACTAAATCAACAACTAGAGATCACACTTATCCATTTAAGGAAACGTTAATCTATTGTCTGTCAACTATAGGAAATAATAAGCAACATTAATAATTGAATTAACGACATCAAAAACTATAGAATAAATAATTATACAATGGAACCTCGCATAACGAACATTTCGATTAGAAGAAGTCCCGGATTGCGAGCCTGCAACATCATTTTTAAAACATGTGTACACATATTATGTGTATTTTTCACATATTTTTCAAAAATTCTGGAATTTTGGAACGGATTAAACTCGTTAAGCGAGGTTCTACTGTATTATAAAACAAAGTAATCTTAAAACAAATGCAACTCATTCTTAGAATATTTATAATGTTAATGAATGTCAAGTAATTCTCTTGCTTAGTTCAAATATGGAAATTATTTGATATTACGTTAATGTAAATTTTTAAGAAAACAATAGCCACTGATTAAATTATGACTAGAAAATGAAAGACTTTTCCATAAACAAACTAAGAGTTATAATATAAATCTTTAAATTATGTCAACTATAAATTATTATATATCAGTTTAGTTTACTAATTTAATTAATTAATGGACAATTAAAAATTATAATTTGAATTCAAATCAAATGTAACCTTTCTGCCACCAAATGGAGCCGTCATGCAAACTTAAATCATAAATTAATAATCAATATTTAATTGATAACCAGATATTAATGGAAAGTGAATAAAATAATTAATAAATAAAACTGTTGTTGCAAATTTTTAATTAGATCAGCGCCAAATCTAATGAAGTATAAACTTGAAATAAATAAGTCTATATCACAAGCCCGACAACCGAAAGACCGTCTATCGAAATCCCGACTGTATTAAGGTCCCGACGTTTGAAATCCCGACTATGTTAAAATCCCGACTACCATAATCCCAACAATCAAAATCCCGACTATGTTAAAATCCCGACTACCATAATCCCAACAATCGAAATCCCGACTATATCTAAATCACAATTATGTGAAAATCTCGACTACCATAATCCCAACAATCAAAATCCCGACTATATCGAAATGTCGACTATGTTAAAATCCCGACTACCATAATCAGAACAATCAAAATCCCGACTATGTTAAAATCCTGACTACCATAATCTCAACAATCGAAATCCCGACTATATCTAAATCCCAACTATGTGAA